GACAAGGTCGTATCTTTCAAATCCAAGACCAAGTTCACGACCACTGATGGTCATTGTAATTTTTTTTACTTACACTGGTATGTAAAAAGGTAAACGACCCCAGCCACTGAGGCAGGGAATTCGTTGATTGTGAGGTTTATGATAAGTCTTGGTATTATGTCATAAGGTCATTGGACATAAATAGGGCGTGGAGGCTAAAAGAAGGACATCGTCGTCATTTAGATAATAATCCTTTTAATAAAAATAAATATGATTATGTTTGACGTCATTACGGATTTAATGCACGGATACTGGACCCACATATTTATGCTTAATTAAGAGTGTGGTTGTCTTTGTTGTGGAGTTATGACGAAAGCAAACAGTTATGTAGAACAATTACTTTCTCCTGTACAAATTTTAGCAAAACAAAAATGAATATTTTTTTCATAAAAGAAAAAACAGATATGCAGAGAATTATTCCTAGTAATAAACCATTGGACCAGTTTCACATCCACGAATTAAAGAAATGAAATATAACATACTGCCAATGTTTGAAATTAGAAATCGATTGAGGAATTCATTTTAACCCAAAAATGTTCTACGGAGTTTTTCCATGAGTCAATATTTTTATAGATATTCGCAGTGGAAAATGTTGACTTTTGTTTAAAAATTCATGTTTTTGGATGGTTTTTTTAGAAATAAATAATCATAGAAAAAATAGTACGGAGGTGTACCTGTAAGGCTCAGTATTGCACATTATGAAATTAGCCTAAACAACATGAAATAAACATAGTTCTACACCAAAAATGAAGCAATAGAAGAACAAATCTTTGAAGAAAAGGCGAGGAGGGCTTCAGATCGGTACTTGCTACGAACGATATATGTTTTCTTGCAATTTGATATAAAAAATCTAGTTTTCCATTCTGGGCGTTAAGGTTTCCTAGTAAATTATAATATCTTCTTTGAGTAGTTACTCCATCTCTTCTTCTTCCTTATTATAAAAAGTTTCTTTTTCGACTGCCTTGCTTGTTTCTGTAAATGCATATTATGGGTGTGATGTATTGATGGTAAAAGCAAGCAAGCTTGGTATGTATTCAATGCCAAGAACCAGTGATAATTGCCTTCTTTAACTAAAAAACCCTGTGTGGATTTGGGTGATTTATCACCAAATGAAAAACAATGCATTATAAACATGTATAACCAAATAAAAATTGATGATCCTGAAATACAGATAACAGCCATGGTAGCAAAAATAGAAAAGGCAACAGGTAAGTTTTGCAGAATATTGATTTTTAAAATCACTATTCTGCAAAATAGTGATGTTTAAAATCACTATTCATAAAAAAATAATCCTTTAGAATTTTATGAAATCTATAGGGGACCTCCTCAGAAATACCCTTCCGCTACAAATAGGATTTTCAATTCCGACGAAACTGGTGTAATGACGGTTGTTCAAGTTACTGAAAATCTCAAAAAAAAAAGAATAAAGCAAGCGGGACAAGCTGTCTCTAGAGATTGTGGTCACCACGTTGCAAACAGTAGGAATTATTAGCGCATCGAACAATACCGTACCACTCGTTTTTATTTTCCCTCGGGCAAGGTTTCTTGATACTCTTATGGTTGGTTGTCCATCTGGTAGTTTAGGCTTGGTAAATAGTCCAACTCGAACATTTGGTGATTGAACATTAAATGCACTGGAACTGACTCAATTTTACTTCTAGACATTCATGAAAGCCATTGCTTACTGGAAACCATTATTTATGCAAAAGAGAATGGTATTATAATGATCACATTTACTCTGCATTTCACAGATATATTGCAACCGTTGGATATATCTGTTATGGGGCTATTTAAGGCAAAATATAGGATTGCTCAAAATTATTGAATGCTCTCACATCCCGGTACAACCATTATCATTCATAATGTTGTCGAACTTGCGAGTCAGGATTTTGAAAACTCTTTTACAATCAAAAACATAGTAGTAGGGTTCAAAACAACTGAAATATATCCATTTAATATATTAAATGCGTTCTCGGATGAAGACTTTGATGCATCAAACGTCAAAGTCAGGCCTATTGTAGAACAAACTATAGAAGCCTCAAACACACCTATTAAATCACAACCATCAACTAGTTTTTGTACTTTTAGAGCTCCTCAACTTAAAACTGTTATTGAAGCTTCTCCATTATTTTTTGTTGAGGCCGTTCGACCATTTCCGAAGGCACCAGCTAGAAGTGAAAAATCGCGCGGTAAAAAGCGAGGCAGGTCTAAAATTCTTAGGTACTGAAACGCACGAAAAAGAGGCCTTAGGAGCAACATAAAATAGACAAGGAAAATACAAAAAAATGGGTACAAAGATGGTTTAACAAGAAATTGAAACATCTTGCGAAAGTGATTCATTTTCAGTTCATGATTCCCTTTCAAAAAAAAAACTGTTGTTGCACAAATTAACAAAAAAGCGCATAGTGAATTACACGTGTTATTTATGAGACAGAAAGGATCAACATTGTATTTTCCTGAAAACAAGATAGAAGATGTAATTCGGAACATGACATCACCATATAATACGAAGGGCACTAAAAGAACACAATCTTCAATGTCATTTAGTTTTGACCAAAGTCAATTTAATTTTAGATAAATTAATGTCATTATTTTTTTTGCTATTTTAATAAAGTTTAGTTGGTTTATGAAATGTGTGCTACTATTGTTCAAAAGCACCCCAACAACAATGAAGAACAACAAGTACACAACAATGAAGAAATTAAATAAAGATATCCACAGGTCAATCCGAAAATGTAAGAGAAAACAATACAAGAGAAATAACTAAAATAATTCAAGAAAACAAAAGTTTAGTTTTGGGGCGAAATACGAACAACATAGGCAACAAAAATGTGTACAAAATAAGAAACAAAATGGAAACATTACTACGGTAGAAGCAAAATCCTTGAAGTGGTCGAATCCTTTTATCTCGAAAAGTATGAGAGCATCGACGAAATTCAAGATCAGCCCCTGCCCAAAATCATAAACCAGGGATCATAATTAATGCCAGAAATAACTCCATAGAAAATCAAAACGGCACTTTTAGAAATGAAAAATAACAAATCCCTGGCGATGACGGAGTACTGAGTATGCAATCAAACTAGGTAGAAATAAAATTATCCAATCTTTGGCCAAGAAGAAACTCCTTCTCAATGGAAAAATGCAGCAATTGTTTTATTACATAAGCAAGGAGACATAACAAATCTAAAAGATTACCGTCCTATCAGTTTGTTCTCAAACATATATAAACTTTTCACAAAAATTATCAAAAAAAGGCTGGACGCTAAGTTAGACTTCTATCAGCCTAGAGAACAAGCTGGATTTAGATTAAGATACAGCACTAATGACCACTAGTGATAAAGTACCTGATAGAAAAGTCTGCAGAATACAACAAACCATGGACTACGAGAAGGCATTCGATAGCATAAGCCATCAGAAAATGTTAAAATAATTGACAAAATGCCGAATAGACCGATTATGTTAGCTACACTAACATAATCAAATATATCTACCAAAATGTTACAGTTAGCATAAGACTATCTGAACAAGGAACAAATAAATTCTGTATACAGCGAGGAGTACAGCAAGGACACACCGTCTCTCCAAAGTTATTCACGCACGGCGCTTTTAAAACATACTTGTAAGAAGCCAGATCTGAACGAGCATGGTATCAACATGGCGAGAAGCTCAGTCATGTGAGATTTGCAGATGACATCGCCCGTATTGTCGATTGCATGGATGATGCAATAATAATATTTGAAAAATTATATTACGGTTCTTTGGAGGTCGGACTAAAGATCAACATGAAAAAAAACGCAAATAACGACTAACCTAATGCTATCGAAATAATGCTGTTGATGGAAGGAATATTGTGCAGACTGCATCGCATAACTACTTAGGACATTAACTTCCATTGGACAGAGATAACCAGACATCTGAGCTTCCACGTGGCATAGGATTACCCTGGGCAGCGTTTGGTAAATTAAACTATGTATTTAAATCAGACCTACCCATATTTCCCACGGAAAATCTTAGACTAACGTGTGTTATCTGTACTCACTTATGGAGCAGAAACATTAACACTCACAAAAAAGGTAGTGAATAAGATTCGCGTGACTCAAAGGGCTATGGAGCGCCAGATGTGGGGTGTCTCTCTGACAGACGGATTCCCAAATGCAAAAATGCGTCGTAGACTAAAAATAACAGACGCCATCAAAAAAATCGCGTGGATAAAATGGAATTGGGCACGACACTTCGCCAGATTATTAGACAACAGATGGACAAAACGTGTTGTCGAGTGGAGACCAAGACAAGAAGCACTGCTGAGTAAAAGACGCCCACCAACCAGATGGACTGACGACCTGAAGCGTGTTAGCAGTAACTGGATGCAAGCCGCACAAGGCAGAGACATATAGAGAGAGAGCTTAAGGAGACCTATGTGCAGCAGAGGATGCATACAGGTTTATGATGAATGAATGCTTAAATATTTGATTTCTTTCAAAAGAGTTAAATAAAAGGACACTATAGAAATAGATAACTTTTAAAGAGGATTATAAGATGAACTTACTTGCGAATTTACATCAAAATTGGTGCAGTTCAAATGAATTCTGGAATAATTATGAAGTATTTTCAGTTAATTAATTCTGAATATTTCCAGATTGCGTTTAGTATTTAGTTTTAATTCTCTAATATATTTTGTATATAATTCTGTTTTCTCAGTATGACTTCTATTACATTATTTAGATGCCTTTAATTTAAGTTGAAGTGACTTTAAAAGAATTAATAAAGATATAAAATGGTCGTGCGGCAGTTCTTTCCGAAGTTAATATTCTCGTCCGCTGAGAAATCTTTAAAAATAAAAAAATCTCGTTTGCGTCTAACATTCCTATGGATTAAGATAGTAAAAAAACTTAGTTCCTAGTTACCACTTACTAATACAAATCTAACTAATTACTCTAACAATGGACATAAAAAGAACTTACCGGTGAACACAGCAATTGTTGCAATCTTTCTTGTGCATGCTGACCTTTCTTGGGCCTAATCAACAGGTAGATCTTCGACACTCCAGGACATGATCTCAGCAGCTTTTCCAAAAGGACTTTTCCCATAAAACCCGTACATCCCGTGATGAACAGCGTCTTTCCATTATAGAATTCGCTAACACTACTGGAATTATTGACCGAGTTCTGAAGAGCTGACATTCTCGCCTCGTTCAACATGTACTAGGGAAGAATATCAAGTTTTCCGTATAACTACTACAAGCTAATGATATAATCTGGAAAAATATGTATGAACATTTGTCACTTCTTTTACTAAAAATAAATGTTTTTGTGCTTAAGGAGGATGACGTTCTTGCTTTGGAAGGCTTCTATTTCATCTTCTTGCGTGTACCTGCAACAAAATGAAAATATGAACGTCACTTTTTTGAACGTCATTCCGTTTACATTCTCATTATATAAATATCATACGTAGGTATCTATGGATCTATCATAATAATGTCATATTAATGAGACGTCACGCAGTAATAAATTATTTCCGCAAAAATCTAAAAATCTATGCTATTCTCCCAGTACGTCAATTTAAATTTTTCAAAAATTATATCAATATTTTAACACTTTCACTACTTGTCAACTATTCTATATATTTTCACACAAATTGAGCTACATTTTGTAACTTATCTTCACAAACTGTGCTTACCATAAATGGTAAACAATGCGTATCTACTCACAAAGTATGGGTTCATATATGGGCGTAGAACTTGCGCCCATAATGATTTTATCTGGTGTGTACGTTATACGAACACAATGCATGATGTTTAAATATTTCTACCAAATATCGATTAATTAAGTTTGTGTGTAAATTCTGGCGAAATCCCTGACACTTCGCTAATGTATGGACACAATCTTTGGTACTCTTTGTACATGACATTAAATTTTCTAAAAAATTATACATTTTTATATTTAGTCAGTCCACTAAAAAGTTACATTCAGATAACATTTTTGAAAGGAGGCAATTTTATTTTTTTGATGTATTTGTGTGGTTAGTATAAGCTTAAGTTCAAGTTTATGGGGTCGGCATTTTGGAAAAAGATCATTGGAAAAAGAGGTTTTGTATCTCGTAAATAGCAAGCCTACGGAAAATTTTATGAAGCATTATTTGTAGCAAACTCAATTTTCTATAACATTATTTCTATCACTTTTTATCGTAAAATTGCAAATAAAAAAAGTTATAAACAAAAATAACTATAAAGTCTAATGGTTCGTTTTTATAGTATTCTTACTATAGTAAGTAGGTAGTAATCAAGAACCCGGTCAAGTTACGAGCACTGTAAAACCCAGAAAAATTAATAAAATTATACAAATTTGTAGTGAAAATGATTCGTTGCAAAACTCTCTATAATAATGCTCTCAAAAAGAAAATTTTTTCAAAATGTTTTAGTTATTTTTTTTAATAACTTTTTTTTCCATTTTACTATAAAAAGTAATAGGAATAAATTTGTAGACAATTTATTTGCTACAAATAATGTCTGATAACATTTTCTGTAGGGTTCTAGCTTACAAAATACAGCGCAAAAGCCCTTTGTGCCCTTATTCCAAGATAGCGAGTATTCACGAACACGGACAATTTCGGAGCCCTATAAAATCCAGAGAAGTTAATGAAATTAAACAAATTTGTAGTGAAAATTACGAGAGAAAAAGTTATAAGACCCAAAAGAAAATTTGTTCCAAAATTTTTAGTTTTTTTTGTTTGTAAGTGTTTTTATTTTCCATTTAACGATTAAAAGTAATAGAAATAAAGTAGTAGAAAGTTTAAGTTGCTACACTATAAACTTTTTCGTAGGGTTACTAATTTACGAAATACGGCGCGTAAACCATTTGCCCTCTTTTTCCAAGATAGCGGCGGGTAGACAAGGGTGGCAACCCCACAAACTTGAACTTACGCAAATACTTACCGTCCCAACATATCAAAAAAAAATAAAATTGCATCTTCTAGGAAATGCAAGTTAAGGCATATAAAGTGTAACATTTCAATGGATTAATTAATATCATACGTAACGTTTCAAATAAAATAATTTGACAAAACAATACACCTGTTTCTGTGAAATTTATATGATATCTGACTAGTTTGAGTATAAAAAACAGTATTCACCAGAATAAACAGTACCGAAATTCAACATTGTACATATTTATTTTTTAATTTACATAATTTACGGGTTCAAAATGTGCACCATTGCGGCGCAAATACGCTTCAAAACGATTTTGCAAAGTATCCCAACATATTTATGAAGAGTGGTTGCTGCAGTAGTTCAAAAAAGGTATTAGCTTTTGCCGTAGTTCTCCAATATCAGCAGGAGGAACTTCTGACTTAAATACTGATTCCTTCATCCTTCAGCATGTCCCAAATGTACGCATTAGGTTTGCAGGTGAGTGACTGAGAGTGGGCAAGAGGCTGGGTACTCAAAGTCTGTTCCGCCAGAAATTATTCTGTTCGAAAATATTCGTGAAGTTAGGCTAGGGAACGATTAGCTGTATGGGTCGTTGCATCATTCTGTTAAAACCATTGCCTGTGCATCTGCACATTTCATGCGCGGAAAAATTTCGTGAATATCTAGCAACAGGTGTAATAATTTCCTGTAACGCTGTTGGTAAACAGGAACTGGATGCTCTTGTTGATGCAGATGTGTTTTTTTACAAAACAGGGCGTGGTAAAATATAATAAATTTTAATGAACGAAGTATTAATCCGGCGAATTCAAGATAGACCCATATAAAAACAACTTAAAACAACGTAGAACATTGTATCATACATATTGTACTGCTATAAAAATGATACCTTCCCACAGAATAAAGAACCTAAGTACCAAGGTAAAAGCTTAATGGGGTAGAATAATTGTTAGAAAATTCTGTTCCGAAATTATAGAGGAATTAATATATATATATATATATATATATATATATATATATATATATATATATATATATATATATATATATATATAAGATTATCAACTTTTGCTTATCAATGGCAAATTTAAACTTACCCCAATTTAAAATACTTTATGGTAATACTTCTATATACCATAGTTACCGGATTGAAATTATTTTTAACATTGATACCAAATAGTCTTGATAAAAGCGATAAAAAAGTCTCGATTCACAAGTTATGGTAACTCTTGACCTTAAATTTTATCTAAATACCTATTACATCAGTGGCGTCCAGTTCTTCAATTGTAATTTCCGGTATTTTATCTTAACTTCGACTTGTTTCAATACCAATTACCAATATTGAAAATTCCCTACATTATATTGCTAGATTTAATCCCTTACTGCTGCATATATTGACCGTGAAAGTCTTTTGTGCTGTTTGTAGATTTATGCGGCACGACTTATCAAAATACTATATAAAGACGCCTCATTGCTTTGAAAAAAAGTTGCTTATTGCCAAACTACTCATTCGACCTCCATAAAAATATCTTTTTATTTAATAAAACCATTTCACTACAGCCTTATTTAAGCCTTTAAAAGCATTCTCGCTTCCTTTTAGGCTATAGCCCATTACAATATCCGAATGAGAATTTATTGAAAAACCTTAGAACCTTCTCAGATTGTAATGTGTCAGGGCAATTTAACACTCAGTTATTTGCTTGAAGTAAAGATGAAGGTACTTGTGTGTTCGTACAAGGCAGTATCGGATTATCAGAAAAAATATAAATTTTTGAGTGTATAGACACTTTGGCTTGTTTAATCTGATAATGGCTCTACTAGCAATTTTAAAAAATTAAAGGAGTGCTTCTCATAGAGCATAATTCAGTTCCCTTGCGACTATACTATCGTTAGACCAATAGTATATTCTGAAAATGAGACATGGATACTAGCAGAAAACGCAAAACTAATTTGAAGATACAACCAAGAACTTTACTAACAGTTGGAGGCAGAAATTGGAGGAAGCCAAAGTTTAATTTGGACAGTAACGCTATTGGAAGTATACCAACACTTGCCTACAACGTCGAGCAGTGTGTGTAGTATCAGATTAATATTTTTCAAAAACTGTAAACACAAACACCATAAACGGCTTATTATTCCAGAATATTCAGGTGCTATGATGAGAGGGAATCCCTCTTCATCTTATGATTTAGCGTTACTATAACCTAATAGGTTTTTTTCCAATTGTGTAAAACATTTTTTGCGTCAGCATGAATCATTCTATCTTCATGTTTTAGAATTTAGGTTACGTTAGAGATAAATACTCTCTCTCTCTCTCTCTCTCCTCTCTCTCTCTCTCTCTCTCTCTTTGATGTTTCTAGCAGTATTCTATACAACCACATATCGAAGACTACTTTTTCATCATAAATTTAGTAAGGATCTATAAGAATATCGAAAATAATCAAGTATCATTACATAAAAAAAAATGTTATCAATTTTATCAAATGTTTATACATAAGCAACATTTAAAAACAGTTAAAAGCGGGTACCCATCAACTTTTTTTTACTTAGGTTCAAGACGTATTCAGCCAGCCAACTGGTGGTTAAACAGTTAACTTTTCTCTCTCTCTCTCTCTCTCTCTCTCTCTCTCTCTCTCTCTCTCTCTCTCTCTCTCTCTCTCTCTCTCCTCTCTCTCTCTCTCTCTCTCTCTCTCTCTCTCTCCTCTCTCCTCTCTCTCTCTCTCTCTCTCTCCTCTCTCTCTCTCTCCTCTCTCTCTCTCTCTCTCTCTCTCTCTCTCCTCTCTCTCTCTCTCTCTCTCTCTCTCTCTCTCTCTCCTCTCTCTCTCTCTCTCTCTCTCTCTCTCTCCTCTCTCTCTCTCTCTCTCTCTCCTCTCTCTCTCTCTCTCTCTCTCTCTCTCTCTCCTCTCTCTCTCTCTCTCTCTCTCTCTCTCTCTCTCTCTCTCTCTCTCTCTCCTCTCTCTCTCTCTCTCTCTCCTCTCTCTCTCTCTCCTCTCTCCTCTCTCTCTCTCTCTCTCTCTCTCTCCTCTCTCTCTCTCCTCTCTCTCTCTCTCTCCTCTCTCTCTCTCTCTCTCTCATCTCTCTCTTCTCTCTCTCTCTCCTCTCTCTCCTCTCTCTCTCTCCTCTCTCTCTCTCTCTCTCTCTCTCTCTCTCTCTCTCTCTCTCCTCTCTCTCTCTCCTCTCTCTCTCTCTCTCTCTCTCTCTCTCTCCAATGGCGCTACAGCCCAAATCGAGTCTTCGCCTCCTCCAAACTATGTCTCCATAGGATCCATAATAACCAACATGTGCTTGATTGTGTCTTCGTTGATGACTAGACCGGCCTGTTTCGCCGCCGTTTCCAATTCTAGGAAATATTGCTTATCATCTCGCTTCCTACGCTCTATTATGTCAATGTCATCAGCGTATGCTAAGATTTGTATAGATCTATTTAAATAGTACCGCCGTCTCTGAT